TATATAAAGTAAATAGCTAGGAGGGGGGAAAACCATCCCACTAGGCGGCAACCCTAACCCAGTCAAAGGGGTGGCCTTGCAACCCCAAGCTTAATCGGTTCAACCTTCCCCAATCGATTCAGCCCAGGTGAGCCCTGTGTCAGTCTCCCAGGGTTGTGTCAGCCGTTAAAATTACCTTCCTTCTTCCTTTTGAAAAAATATAGTAACGCACTTATCCCGAGAAATAGACACATTACTTAATAGTGAGACTCAATTAAATAAACTACAAAGTTTATAACATCTGTCTGGTCTGCGAACTGTTATGTTAACCGACAAGTTCTCCTATCTAATATTAAAAATTAGATAAGGTTTATATTACTTGAATTCTTAAAGCTCCCTATAGAGGCAATCTCCTATAGTTAATTACCTCTCAAATGACTGAAGTCACTTAAGAGAACTCTCGATAATGATCAGAGACATCTATTTTCATAAATTCAAAGTTCGGGGTTTCCAAAGTTAGACATAAAAAAGTCAAGTGGGGAAAGGGACCAAATAGGAACTTTTATTTCTTGAATCAAAGAAAAGAAAAGTAGGGGATGTCACAGATCCTGCATCTATCTTCATGAATTCAAAGTTCGGGGTTTCCAAAGTTAGACATAAAAAAGTCAAGTGGGGAAAGGGACCAAATAGGAACTTTTATTTCTTGAATTAAAGAAAAGAAAAGTAGGGGATGTCACAGATCCTGTGGAGAACCTCAGTGACTTCCCAAACTATTATATTGTTTGACTTCAATTTTAAGAAGATGTTATTCGATGTTTTATCCTGCTAGTTTTATTATTTAAGGTTTATATTTGCATGACACGATCATACAAATGACCTGAAAGATAGGAGTGTTTGCGTCGTATCGGCCGCCAATCTCGGAAGGACGACAATCTCGGAACCTAAAACGAGTTAGGGCTTAGATTGTACAACCTGACTGTGCAAAGGTCTAAAAAATAAGGTGATGATTTATGTCGCATTAGGCAGACCACCTCGAAGTCCTATGGCTTGTTATTTAAACTACAAAAAGATATGTTGTTGTAAATCGTCATCCTCCACCTCTTGCTTCTCTATTGTGCTGCCCACGAAGACTTGTTCCAAGCTCCAAACTGTAGTGACTTCAAGTTTAGTTATGTTTTGTATTTGCAAGTATAATTATTGTTGAGTCTCAAGGGCCCGGTGTACCTCCTAAAATATGTCCTACTGTTCTCTATCCAAGGAGTTTAACAAGTGCATTAAAGTAAATAATGCAATAAAAAAATAGCAAATTGCAGGAAACTTAAACAAGTTGCTAGAAAATCCTATATAAGAAAACCTAAAATCATAAAAAATCACGAATGAGTAAAACAAAACACGATATCACATATAAAAGACCAGGAATATGTTATTTATATGTGACATTAGGAATGTCCCCAATTGTAAATAGGATTTGAGTGTAAGGCTCAAGCTCAAATCCCGGAGCATTGGGTTTCACTGTAAGTTAAGTCTTGACGAAAATTTCACTACTTCATTTAATTAAGAAAGTTATGAATCACATCTCGGTGTATGCTTATGTTTAGTGTTTTAATCAAACTTGAATTAAGACCAAGTACTTAGTTTCATCATTCATTTGAAATTAGGTAAACGAACTCTCACCTAAGGTGTGCTTATAAAATTTAGGAAGCCTATACTTTAACTTGAGCTTGAAGTGATTTAAGGTGTTTTACCCTCACTTAAGTTTTTTTTTCACTA